ACTTAGGTTATGTGATAAGTAGTTTTTTTTCTTGTTTTTAGACTTTGAGTCATTATAACTTATGGGACTTAAAAATATTTTTTCCTTTTATAATTTGAAAAAAAAAAAAAAAAACTATTTGTTATTATTTTTTTTCTTGAACTAAATTAATTTTTTGTAATTTTTTTTTTAAAAAAATTCAAACTACTGTCATAAATAAAATTAAGTGCACAACGATGGCCTTAGGCCAATAAGTACAAAAGCAGGCCAAATGGGCTAAGCAAAGTAAGCAACAATGGGGGATAAGCTCAACCATCAAACAAAACGGATAACCACCATAAACGGCTTGTTAACTGCTAATTTTGGTTGTCTGCTAAATCATTCTAGTGATGAACCCTAAGAACAAGATGTATTGCCGGAGGGAGAAGGTGAAGCTCAATCCGGCAGCCGGCGTGGAGGAAGGCAGTGCGAAGAAGAAATGTTCCAGATTTGTCGCAGCACCATAGTACCAAAGCTTCCCAATGAAAATTCTGCACTTATATTTGATGAACCTCCAAATTGGTGAAACAAATGTGCAGTTTAAGAATAAGTGGTCATGAGATTCGGTTGAAGCCTGACACGGAGCACAAATGTGATTCAAATCAAAATAATAAATGAATTTGATTCAAATCAAAACTGAGTCCAGCTATTTCAATACTCAATAATATCTTACCCTTTAACTCATGCTCTCAAAAGTCCTAGCTCAACCTACGTTTTAGATTTTAAATTTTCAGGTAAAAAAATGGCATGCTGAAAAGCAAGTCGTGATTAAATTACATATGCATACAATTCTAAACATTTATTGTAAATGTATAAATGCCATTAACAAATTTATAAGAAAATTTCTCCAAATAACTAATATACAATAAATTTAGATATAAAGGAAAATAAACAACAAGAAAAAAAGATTGATCATGACTATAAGTATAGAATATCTGTAAATTTAGAAATATAAAATATTCATGTTAGAATGTAGTGTTAATAAAAGAAAAAAGAAGTAGCCCGCATTGCATCTCTTTAGTTAACTAGGGACACGGAGAGATAACATTATTGTTTTTTTTTTCCTTCTACCTTAAAAAAAATATATTAATAAATAAATAAATAATTGGATTATGATTGATCACGTTAACGGTTAACTGTTTTGAATATTAACCTTAATTAGAGCAAAACGACAATTTTAAATATGTGTAATATTAAGTGCGCATACTTTAATATATAAAGGGTAAAGTAACCAAAAAAAAATTATTCAATTTGAACACTGAAATACCTAAAATGCACTTAAAAAAAAAAAACCAATGATTTCAAAATTTTGGAATTTTTAAAAAAAACTTTGGAGATTGAGGGATTTTTACAAAAAAAATAATAATAAAATATTAATAATAATAATAATTTTGGGGAGTTTTTATAAAAAATAAAATTTTAAGAGTAAAATATCTAAACTGCCCTTAAGGGTTTTTTTTTTTTGTTATTTTTATAAATATAAAAATATTCAAAATTAACAATCAATGGACAATTTGTAAGAAATTTTCAAATAATAGGATTTATATGCACATATTAAATAGTAGAGTGTTTTTTTTTTTGGGACATTTTTTTATATAATTTTTTTTTTTTTTTTGACAATTTACATATATGTATAAATATTCTTGTTTCCTTCATCATTATAATTGGGTATAGTTGTCATTTTACATGTCCAAAAACAATCTCCTTCGTCAATGTTAGGGTGCTGACATGCAAGAAGTGTAAGTTAGTAATAAGAAGAAATCCAACCCTTAACCCTCTTTCTTCTTATTTATTAGGGTAAAGTGCAGTTACATGCCCTGAGGTTTGGTAAAGGATACTACTCAAATGAAACTTACTTATTTTTTAAACAAAGACACTCCTTGAGAATTCAAAAAAGGAAAAAGATACCCCTTTACATGAGAAATTGATCAAATTATCCTTTAACCGTTTAGGAGACATTTTTAACTTTACAATTAATTAAATTGGACCAATCTACCCTCATGAACAAAAAAAAAAAACTTTATATTGTTCACTTTTTTTTTTTTTTTTTTTTGTTATTTACTTTATAAATGTCACAACTTCTTAAAAATATAGACGTCTAAAATGATTTTTTGATCCAATACATATATTTCAAATAAATTATATTTTGTTACTACTTCTTTTCTTTTTCTTTTTTATTTTTAAATTAAGATGCTTAATTATTTCATTTAAAAAAATTAAACCAATCTCTTTTTTTAAGAATAAGAAATATGGTACCAGTATAACTTTATGCATATTAAATTATATATCAAATATTATTCATTTCCCAACATAAAAGAAAATAGGTACGAATATACCTTTATGCATCTTAACTTTATGCATACCTTTGTTTTATTATTATTTTTTCTCTTTTATGTTGGAAAATGTATAATATTTGATATATAATTTAATATGCATAAAGTTATATTGGTACCATATTTTTTTATTTTTAAGAAAAGATATTGTTTTAATTTTTTTAGATGAAAGAATTAAGCATCTTAATTTAAAAATAAAAAAATAAAAAGAAAAGAAGTAATAACAAAATATAATTTATTTGAAATATATTTATTGGATCAAAAAATCATTTTAGACGTCTACATTTTTAAGAAGTTGGGACATTTATAAAGTAAATAACAAAAAAAAAAAAGTAAACAATATAAAGTTTTTTTTTTTTTTTTTTTTTTTTTTTACTTTTTTTTATACATAAATTATTCATGAGGGTAGATAGGTCCAATTTATTAAATTGTAAAGTTTAAAAAGTCTTCTAAACGATCAAAGGGTAATTTGGTCAATTTTTCATGTAAAGGAGTGTCTTTATCCATTTTTGAACCTTTAGGGAATGTCTTTGTCCAAAAAAACAGGTAAGTTTCCTCTGAGTATTTTTTTATCAAACCTCAGGGGAGTGTGACTGTACTTTACCTTATTTATTAATTATTATATAAGCACTTGCCATAATTGACAAGACATGTAAGTAGCAAAATCATGTTCTAGAGTTGTGTTTTAAGGTTGTAGTTTCCAAAATGACTTGGATTTCTTAGATTCTCTTGTTTGAAAATAATTTTATAATTTTAAAGAATTACAAATTTTAAAAGGCACATAAAAAAATTATCTGATTGACAATTTTCTGAAAATTCAATTGATGAAAAAATGTCTACTTTTCATATAAGAGGCTTTTATATAAATAAATAAAAATTTGCTTTAAAACGCTATATTTGAAAAACTTAAGCATTATTTTTAAGAAATTAAACCACACATTAAACATTTATAATTTGAAATACAATTGTTGAAAAGTACCATGAGTTAATGATTTTGTAAGAATATCACTTAACTTATCATCAAAACAAATATAAGGAGTAATGATTTGCTTCGGCATCAACAAATCGCGAAGGAAATGACAATCAACCTCTATATAATTATGCTCGTTAAGAACGTGCCCATAATGCCAAGGATAATTATCCTCACGTAAGTTTGAGTTGTTTGCAATTTTATAGGTGGATGGAAAAATCTCTTCAATATGTAGAATTCAAGAATGGGTTGTTTGCGTAATTTTGAATAATTGTTTTTTTTTTTTTCCCAAGGAATAAAAATAGTTTGAAATTAATTTTATTTCATTAACAAATTTCAACAAACTATTATTTGAAATTGAGTTTAAAAATTGTCTTACTACATTTAATTATTTTTTTGTTACTCTAGGAAAAGTATTTTCAATTTACAGTATTTTTTTTTTTTGTTTTTTTTGGAGCTCTTAAACAACCTGATAAGAAATGTGATGACAGTTGGATGTTAAAAGATGGGCTACAACTTGATCTTTTATCCAAGTAGTCAACTGACTCAGAAGAGGACAACGTCTATATGGGCTACAACAGGTGCATAAGTCGGTCCAGGCCCGTAAGGCCCAGTTAAGCGATAAAAGAAACCCTCATTCTCAGCTTTTCCAATCTGTAATATCTCTCTCTACATGTATATGTGATATATATATTCTAATCTCTAGCATGTGATAATATACACAGTATGCCCTCCCTTAGTGCCCTGTTACCCTGTACATTATTGTTACTTGTGTATTATAAACTTTTACTCATTTATTAGAAAAATAGAATTTTCTTAAAAAAAAAGATAAAAGAAGAATGTAATATTCGTTGAATTAACCACCATATTTGTTCAATGCTTTAGAATTATATAGACACTAACACACACTATTTTCTAATGCATGTCAATATTGGGATATGATAATCTCACTCCATTTGATTTCTTTTTTATAAAGAAAATGTCAAAATTAGTTTTCAAATCCTGAAAGCGATTGTATTCAGTTCTTTTCCTACCTTTGACGCTTCCATGGCTGAGGCATTTTGCCTTCTTTGGGCGGAATTTTTGAGCTTCTATAGTTGTTGGTTTGAGAGCGATTCCTTGGAAGTGAGTTCTACAATTTCAAGAGAAAAATGATGCCATGTTCTCATGGATTCAATCATCTCAGATATTCAATGGTTGTTTCGCAGGTATTTCTCGTTTCGCATTAGCCATGTAGGTAGACATGACAATGAGGTGGTCCATACTGTGACGAAGTTGACTCGGAATCATTTGACCAATGATGAAATTTTGGTCCATATTCCTTTGGAAATTCTCCTTTTGGCTGATATTCAGTTGTATAAGAATGACTCATAATTTTTGCTCTGTTGTTTTGCTTTAAAAAAAAAACAGGTGAAGAAGATTTAAGAGACTTTTGTTGGATTTGGATGTAATGATGAAATGGTGGGCTATTTTATGTGAAAAGAAAAAGCTCATGTTAAAAAAAAGTAGCCACTTTCTTTTTCTTATTCAATGGCCGTACTCAAAGTGCAAAAAGACAATAAAGAGTTGCCTTTATTTTCAAATCATATTTTTAACAAAAAATTTGACAATGCTAGCTATAGCTAGCTAGCTAGTATACTACACACGCACAAAATAAAAGAAAAAAGAAAAGGCTTAAAACTGATTTTAAAGGAATACTAGTAGTATCTGTCAAGTCTTTGACTTGGAACATGAGGTTCAATTGAAATGCTTCAATTAACCTTCTTACAATCTGATCTAATCTCTCCATTGGTACCCGTCAATGGGCTAATATTGGCCATGTTAATCATGGATTGAGCAAAGCTTTGAAAGAAAGCAGTTTGGTTACTAGCAAAGGTGTTAACAATGGAGATTGTTGCAGCACCATTTGTGGAAAATAACTCTTGATCTGATAGCAGAAGGCCTCGATTGTTTTGCAAGTTAGAGAAATAGTTATTGTCAAAGGCATCGGAGGTTGTGGGGTCAAGATTTGCGAGCGTAGTCCCACTCCCATTTTGTGGACATGTTTGGCGAAGGGTGGTCAAGTATGTTGAATTTAGTGTGGGATCAGGGTTGCCGGTGCCATTGAAATTGTAGAGCCGGTTAATGAATAATCCACATTGAGCACGTCCAAATGTATGCGCACCTAAAAACAGAGAGATAGACGTTACATTTGACATATAAGTTAGAAGACATCCATTGCCATTTGCAAGGGAGCTAGTAAAAATGTAGTTGGGTATTTAATTACCGGATAGTGCAACAAGATCATTAGTGTTGAGGCCAACAGCGGAAAATTTGGCAGAAATGGAGCTTAAGCCTTCAAATGGAGTTGGAATTGAGGTATTTGCTCCTGCCTGGTTCGCTGTCCTGCTGTCCCTTCTCCCTAATAGGACATTCCATGAAGGACCACCTGACTGCACAGATCAACCAAAGGGGCCTTAATTAATTTTGTACACAATTAATTAATATTCCCTGTGTTCCAAAAATGATATTCTCTTTGGGGAACCGTAAGTCACGGTTCCCCAAACAAGACATCTAACATACCAAAGAAACGGACTAAAGTAATTGAACGGAAAATTAAAATTGTTTTCATACGAGTTTGTATAAGGTTTTAGTAAAAGCTAGTTTGTTTTCACTTCAAATGGGGAATATAAATTTCAAAAAGAAAAAACCCTAGAGAATTTTGTTAAAGTACCAAAGAAACGGAAGCTTCAGCAGCAATGGCAAGAATGTCAGCACAGGAGACAAGAGCAGGGCAAGAATTCTCAACAGCAGTTTTAATATTGTCAACTACGCTGAATCCTCGAGCAGAATTAGTGTTAGGAGCAGCATCTTTCTCACTCTGTATGGTGGTTCCATTGTTGTCTAACAAGATTGAAGCATCACATCCCTAGCTAGTACAAAAAAATCAACAATTAGATACTTAAATATGAAAGAAAACAAGTTATATATGGGCAGGAAGAGTTTAATTAATTAATTAAGCTGACATTGACAAAACAATCATGGAAATGAAGACGAATGAGGCTGGCAGCAATGCGTGGATCAGACTGCAAAGCCTGCTGAATGACAGCACGCGCAATGTTAGAAACATTTGAGCATGTCGTGGCGTAAAATGTAGCGTTCAGCTGAGCGTTTGATTCATGGAGCACCACAAATACTGCTACAAGAATGAATACCACTGCCAAAGAAGAAGAAAATGAAACCATCCTCCTCTGTCCCAACGTTGGCTTAATTAATTTATTGTTTGCAACACCAAAAACACAAAAAAAAAAAAAAAAAAAAAAAAAATTAAAAATCCTAAAATAATTATATCTCGATTGTATAGGCCACTGACCAAGAACGTGCCAATATATAGAGAAGCTAAAGTGTCATCATATTCATGTTACTTCAGTACAGGATAAAGTACTTTTGTATTAACAATGGACATTTTCCTGATCATGAATATAATAATTATAAGCATGGTCCTCAGCAAAGTCAAAGTTGGTAATATATAGTAGGGTTAAATGCAAAAAACCCCCCTAAACTATTGGGGGTTTTGCAACTAACCCCCTTGAATTAAAAAAAAACCCCTAAACTATGAATTTGTTGCAATTTGCCCACTCAGGCCACCGGAAAAGTAAAAAGACGAAACTGCCCTTCCAAGTTTGTTATATACTCAATACAACCAAACCCGAAGCCACACACACTGCAGAAATGGAAGAAGTGGCGGCAGCACTGGTGGAGATCTCTTTGCAATTCGTCAACCGTGGATGTGGAACAGAGCATCGATCATCGTCGTAGCCGCCGAGCGAGAGAGAGAGGGGTGAAGGTGATGGCAGCCGGCGCGTGAGAGAGAGCTCGGCGGTGTGGGTTGTGGATATTTCGGCTGGTAGAGAGCTCGATGGTGTAGAACAGCGACTAGGGAAGTCGCGATTCTGGCACAAATCAGAGAATGGCACAGCGGCGACGGATCTGGCGTTGGCGACAACGGCTTTTGTGCGCCGGTGATTGATAGAACAGCGGGCAAGATGGGTTGTGGATGAACTTCGGCAGTGCTCGGATGGGGGCGAGACGGTGACGGCGAGCTTTCGCAGCGGTGGGCGACGGGTTGTGGAGAGGACTCAGCCGCAATGAGGTGCTTCACGGTGTGATGGCAGCAGCGAGCTTGCCTTCGGATGATGGTGGTGGTAGTGGAGCCACCACTAATGACGACTCATGGTGCAATTAATTTGGGGTGATTACCAGTGACGACTCGTGTGTATATCTATATATATATAAATATATCGATTGAGCTTTGGTGTTTCAGTACGAATTACTGTATTTGAATTGATTCAATTGGGAAATTGTTTGAGAAACGTTTGTGGCTACGGCGGTGATGGCAGTGGCTGGACTGGTTCACTATGAATTATTTAAATTTTTTAAAATTGTGGTTCAATTGCTTCGAATGGTGGTGGCAGTGGGATTTTAGTGTGATTTGGGTTAAACGGCTTTCGGTGTGGAAGATGGGCTTGTCGGTGTTGAACCACGAACGCCTGCTGTTGAAGATGGTGAACAGTTATAGGGCGTGTTTGGGTATGCTATGGGGTCTATGGAAATTAAGGGCATTTTAGTCCTTTCATGCATATAAGGGCAGTATGGTCTTTTAAAATAAGTAAATTATTTTTAACGGCCAAAACTTGCCGGATTTTTGCCGGATGGAGTTATCTGAAACAAAATTGAATAGTTCAGGGGGTTAGTTGTAACTTTTGTAGTTTAGGGGGGTTAATTGCAATTTTGTCAATAGTTCAGGGGTTTTTTTTGCATTTAACCCTATATAGTATAACATAATCATCTATTGGAATAGGTATGGTAAAAATTCCATACCACTACTACATTTAAGGACATGGTTGTTAAATAAAGGCTACCAGTTTGGTTGTCCATGTTGTGGCAAAGTATGCTATAAACAAATCCGGTACACGAGATTTGTTACTACTTGTTTCCAACACTAGGTCTTTCTCTAAATCACTGTAAAATAATTTCACCATCATAATTTTATCCCAATAAAAAATGACATACTACTCGATCAATTGTATTATTTATGTAACATTCGTGTTGATGGTGAATTTATTTCAGAATTTACCAATCCCAAATTCCCAATACCCCCAACCAAATCAATTTGTTGACTTATATCAACTACTGCGTACAAGTAGCAGAATTATTAAATACCACAAATATTCTTCCGCAATCAGAGGGTTTTTGGGATTTGTGGGTCCTTGTATATCACTTGGACTAGTAATAGTAGTCTGCTTATGGTGATCTCATTATTTGCCCTTTGTGGATCATCAAATATGTTTTTGAGTACCTGTGCGAGCTTATACATGTGCGTGTCGGTGTATATATGCTGTATATTAATTTTGACTATTAATAACATAGGTTTTTTTTATGTGAGTTTTATATGCTGATGTCTTCATTTGTTACATATATTTCAATAATCTAGTGATTAATACTTTCCGTAAATTTTAACATGCTAGATTTTCACTACATTTATTAAATTAACTTTTAACTCTCTTCATTTGTCAAACGAGTGTGAAGTGATGTCCATACTTTTGCTGTAATTTCACCATCATCGATAAACAAATAAACCACTTAACTCTAAATAGAAATTATATTTTCATGTTCATTTTTTTTTTTCCTTAACCAGGCCAAAAGCTTATGTTAAAGATTTATTTCTCAAAAGAATTGGTTACCGTACCTACCACTTCAATCAAATTACACCAAATACTTGGTGGATGTCGTACAGGAGCAGGAGGTTGTTGTGAATGGTTGATAATTAACAACAAACTTTGAAAAGCTAAACCTAATTTGACCATAATTAACCAATCAAATTGTCTTTATATAATGCGCGTGCGGGGTGTTTAAAATTGATTTCTTAATCCAATTGAAAAGAAAAAAAAACGTTTTTTTTTTCTTTTTTTGTTTTTTTGGTCTACACCGCTTAGACTTGGCAGTAGTAATACCATATAGATTGTGCTAGGGGTGGGGCAAATAATTCGTGAATCTGCGATTCATATCCGGTCCGATTCGATTTGTGCGGATCGGATCAGATTGCTACATTCACGAATCGGTGGCTAATTCAAAAAAATTAAATTCGTAACTCACGGATCGAATTACGAATTGGACTGTTAAAAATTCGATTCGACCCTTGAATATATATATATATTTTCCAAAGAATATATTAGTTAATTTAATTAGTTAATGATAATTTAATGTACTCTAAATATGTATTATGTGTTAGTTAATAATTATTTAAATATATGAATTAATATTAATAAATTAATTTTTTATGTATTGGGTTAGGGTTCAAAAATAAATAAATAATAAATAATAATGAATAATTTAGATAAAACTCAATCAGCGGATTCGATTCGATCCGATTTGATTCATGGGATGACGAATCGGTGGCGGATTAAAATTTTTCTAATCCGTTGGGAGCGGATCGGATTAAGATTGATGCCTAATCAGATCCGATCCGATCTGTGGCCACCCCCAGGTTATGTATCTCCATGAGCTATTTTCCATTCTAGAAAGGGGAAGTGATTCATCTAAAGAACAGTATTTTTCAATTTAAAGATTAACTAGTATATAGGTTGTTTGAAATTAATGCATGGACTATATATGCAGAAATTGAAATAAAATATAAAGTATTACTTTTGAATTTTTGGGAAACAATATTTACTGTAAAATTTTACTACTGTAATTATAAAGGGTATAAAGGGTGAACTTCAAAATATAAAAGGAGAACACGTAACGATGCGATCATGGGCATTGGATTTTTTAGATTCGGTATATTTTTTTATATTGGTATTTAAATTTGAGCTTATATCATGTTTGAAACAATTAATATTGATTTGAAATAGTTCATAACATATCACCTATTATATCACTAAATTAGTAATATTATATATTTTAATATTAATTTTTATCTAAAACAGTTCTATAACAAAATGGTTGTTTTGTTATTAAACAAAAATATAATCCCAAAAGCACGTGGCATGCCAATCGGATTCTTATTTTTCCTTAAGTCCGAATTTGAGAGGCGCCCAAGAATACGACAGGCCCATTTATCGAGAGTAAACAGTTGAAGTGGCTTGGATTGGATCGAACACAGAGTCCAAGTTAATTAAGGCCTATCATGTTTATGTTGTGCTAGAATAAAGATAGGATGCGGGCCAACCCAAAACTTTCACAAATTTGTCTGGTAGGGACGACAACCCATGTCCCAACTCCCTCTCATTGTCGCTTATTAAATCCATTTATAGCATACATATAATACACACCATTAGGACACTTCATAGACATACTCTAATTAGTATGTACATTGTAAGATTGTATATCCTTTGGGAAAAAAATTCTCTCCATTTTCTCTTTCAGTGGAGGACGTCCAGTAAGCATCTAACAGTAGTGATTAACGCCACATTTTTAACATAGATTTGTCATTGACTCATCGCTAAATCAACAAGGTAAGTAAAAAATTTACTAATTTACACTTTATTTTATCATATTTACGAATATTGATTTATACGGTTATATTTTATACGATATATTATACTATTAAAAAAATACCATTCAACTTTACCTTTTTATTTAACTTAAAATACATTTTTACTTTTTCTCTTCTGTATCGAAATTTTGTTCTTATGTATATGTTTTATAAGAAAGCTATATGTATAAGTTGTGAGACTCATAAAGTGAAAATTAAATTCATTAAATATTACAATATATATATATGTTTTATACCTAAATTGTATATATAAATTGATAGTTTGATAAATACAAATTTAATTCAAGTGCCAAGTTAGCTTTTTTACCCCTAGAGTAAATGGAGAGAACTTTTTTTCTATCCTTTGTGTAATGTAATAATTTATTCATATAATATGCATTCACACGTGCAAATGTATCGTTGTACCTTTTAGCTAAACTTATTTCCCCTTTTTTTATATATAAAAAAAAAAATTTAAAAAATTAAGGTAAACTTATTTCCCCTTTTCTTTTATATATATATAAAATAAAATAAAACTTATAATCTCACTATGGATCGCTTTTAGGTCAGTACCCTTTATTGTTTGTGTTATGGGACCGTGCTATATTTGATTCACTGAAGAGATCAATATTTTGCTACAACCTGGTTAATTTGATGACGGTAATTAAGGAATATATATACATAAATGATTTACTACTTACAGAATCATGACACATAGATCAATATAGAAATGGTCAAGGTCCATCCATAATATATAGAAAATAAAAAGTATAAATACAAATTATACAGGTCAAATTATCAAAAAGAGAAAAATAAAAAATATCGGCAAAAAGGGTCAGGTTGAATTATCAATTAGGATGGTTTAATTAAACTAAATAGATATCGAAGTCGTAGTAGCCAAATGGCAGGACTTTATCAAGTTTCATGTGGTTTATTTTTCCTT